TGTACGATGTGTGGAGGTAACGAGGCGCTTGTATTGTGTTCGTGGCCAGATTCACGAAGCAGTTACGAAAGGACTTACGAACGTGTACAACTTTTCTCAATCTTTGACGGCTTTGGTTACATTTATTGAAGAGTTTACAAGCATGAAAACTTGCCAATCAACTGTTGTTATTGTTATAAACAGCCTCCTGGTGCTTCCGAGCTCATTGACTGTTTAATAATTGTAAACAAAGAAGCCAAAAATTGAGAAAAGATGGACAGGTTCGTAAGTGCTTGTGTAACTGCTTTGTGAATCTAGCCCCCTGGCACTGATAAGGGTTTGGCTCGTGTTAACTCTCGCTCTCTATAACTCTCTGGCTCTATATATCTCTCGCTCTCTATATCTCTTTGTTTACAAACAAAGCTTTAAATGAGAGCTTTAATTAAGCTGGCTACACAGTCAAATCTAAATGTTTGCACTATTATTGAGAGGAGCTTAGTCTGGCGAGAGTTGCAAATGTTGCATTGAATATTGAGAAGTGCTTATTGCAGTAGATGAGTTGAGGACGCACTACATGTGATGCACCAGGAGGAGAGGTGTTTTAAGTGCTTTATTTAAGGCACTTAAGTGCAAAGTGCTTTAAGTGTGTTTCTGATTGGTTTGTGTCGTATTCTGGGAATGGGGTTTTCTTGCGTATTTTGCATAGTGTCGTGCATGGTTGTTTCTCACACACACACACACACACACACACACACACACACACACACACACACACACACACACACACACAGGACAGGAGTCATTGTTGTAAACAAGCGATGGCTGGAAAGGCGGGATCCAAGAGTCAATGCTCGATCCTGCAAGCACAAATAGGTGAGTACACACACACACACACACACACACACACACACACACACACACACACACACACACACACACACACACACACACACACACACACACACACACACACACACTCACTACGCACACGTGTATGTATACGGGAGGATGATCCTCTCATGTGTGTGTGTGTGTGTGTGGCGCCTGTGTCCTGGACGGGGGGGGGGGGGGGAGGTGGCCTATACATTCATACTCATACATACACCTACACATTCATACACGCTAAATATTGATACAATTTAATGTAGTTTTGCCAACAATAGCTTCGTATATGTAGATATGTACGTATGTTAATTTACAAATAAGTTTGTATATACATGTATGGAAGCTTTTACGTATTCATGGATTGATAAGTTTGTATGGATACACACCTTCAAAGCTTGTCTTTGCATGAGCTTAACTCGGGCTAACAACCCAACCTAAGGGTTGTTAGCCTTAGTTACGGTAATATGTACTAAACTAACATAACTCAACCTCATAACACTGTTATTTGTGAATATTAATAGATACTTCTTCTAGTGTAACTTTTGATATAGATATATCTATTGCCTATATTATTATTAGCTCTGATAACCACTTGTTTACATAATTTCTTAGATTTTACCATCTTCCCTACCGTTCCCTTCCCCCCCCCCCGCTCTCTCCGGTTCGATCCCCGCTCCATACTCCTTCTCCCTTACCACCCTCCCGTCTCCTCTACCTCTCATCATTCCCCCTGATGATGATGGGTAGTGATGAGTTATCTGTTGTCAGAGTTGGATATTAAGACAGTGTTTGTTATCGTGCATAGGGGAAAGGGGAGCCCTTTGTCCTGATCTTTCATTTCTTCTGGATGGGGATAGTATTGTGTATGGATTATTGCTGGTGGAGGGGTGGGGTACACACACACACACACACACACACACACACACACACACACACACACACATACACACGCGCGCGCGCGCGGGATGTAAATGCAATAAGTATAACTTGATGTAGTTTTAACTTTTGAAGATAAATGACGATTGTGTAAACATTGTGTGATTGTTACGGAACCTGAAAATATACTGGCGAATCCTGACAGAATTTATCACTCGAATGATGACTGGTGTCTTGTTGTTGTTGTTGATGTCTGATGTTCCTCCTGTGGTTAGCCCCGACTTAGCCTCGTCTGACTTCAAAATGGAATCATGTTTCCCCAAGAGAAATATAAAATGACCCAACATGAGGTAGACTCATGGTTTACCTTACAATCAGCTGCCCTAAGCCTCTTTGTGTATTTATTTACATTCATCATGCATGTTTGTGTTTGCTTTGTACAGGTAAATCATACAATGTGTACAGGTAAATCATACAATGAAAGGAGTTGAACAATAGGCAATTTATAAAATAAAGTTACGTGATATGAACTGTAATTGGATGTATATGGGAATATATGGGGTTATATAAATTAGTGTATTGTATATCTACAATGACTGTGGCAGGTTCATGGCCTGACATAATCTATATATGCAAATGTAGCCCTGTTTGTATGATAATGGGGGGGGGGGAGGGGGGTGTAAAGTCCCTATCTATGTTTATAAAGGTAGATTTATCTTTATTAACGGTTGGATGGCAGACGGTTGAGGGTTGTTTCGCGTAACTTTGCACGATGATTGATGGCGGGTAGGGGACTATCATGGACTTTTCGGGGGTCTGCCCTATTCTGTCTGTAAAAAGACTTGGCTCTCAATGCAATGTCATTAAGTCGTGTTGAAGTATGAAATAGTTATTTTTTTGTTCAGAGTTATTCACTGGTTCAAAATATTGTATATATAGACGTACTGAACACCTGTCGACAGATTTGCATTTTGGAGACTGGTAATATTTTAATGGTTCGGTGAGAGAGCGCCTTTAACATTGCTCTCGGAGCATTTGTAAGCCCAATATGACCACAGTGTGCTTGACTCGTGTGTATATCTTGCCACGTGACACTATTATCATGCGAGGCCCTGTTCTTTCTCTAGTATGTATGTCTTGTAAACCCGCGGCGCGCAGGCCGGTCCGCAAGACAAAAGAACAGCGGAATGTGTCTACCTAATTCCCGCCCTTCAGTGGAGTCATGCGTCTCTGTCTGTCTCTGTCGTTGTCTCTGTCTCTCGCTTTCTGTCTCTCGCTCTCTGTCTCTCGCTCTCTGTCTCTCTCTGTCTCTCTCTCTCTCTCTGTCTCTCTCTCTCTCTCTCTCTCTCTATCTCTCTCTCTCTGTCTCTCTCTCTCTCTCTCTGTCTCTCTGTCTCTCGCGCTGTCTCTCTCTCTCTCTCTCTCTCTCTCTCTCTTTGACAAACTGGAAGAAAATTACAAAATTCTATAGAATGTATATCGACAGTTCAGCAATTTTCCGGACGTTAACCAGGGCGGGTGAGGTGTTGCCATGTCGGAGTGCCATATCTGCCATGTCTGCCGTCCGTCCATGTGCGTCTCAGGCCCTGTGTGTGTGTGTGTGTGTGTGTGTGTGTACTCACCTATATGTACTCACCTATATGTGCTTGCAGGATCGAGCATTGACTCTTGGATCCCGCCTTTCTAGCTATCGGTTGTTTACAGCAATGACTCCTGTCCCATTTCCCTATCATACCTAGTTTTAAAAGTATGAATAGTATTTGCTTCCACAACCTGTTCCCCAAGTGCATTCCATTTTTCTACTACTCTCACGCTAAAAGAAAACTTCCTAACATCTCTGTGACTCATCTGAGTTTCCAGTTTCCACCCATGTCCCCTCGTTCTGTTATTATTACGTGTGAACATTTCATCTATTTCCACTTTGTCAATTCCCCTGAGTATTTTATATGTCCCTATCATATCTCCTCTCTCCCTTCTTTTCTCTAGTGTCGTAAGGTTCAGTTCCTTCAGCCGCTCTTCATATCCCATCCCTCGTAGCTCTGGGACAAGCCTCGTCGCAAACCTCTGAACCTTCTCCAGTTTATGTGTTTCTTCAGGTGGGGGCTCCATGATGGCGCGGCATACTCTAAGACGGGTCTCACGTAGGCAGTGTAAAGCGCCCTAAAAGCTTCCTCATTTAGGTTTCTGAATGAAGTTCTAATTTTCGCCAGTGTAGAGTACGCTGCTGTCGTTATCCTATTTATATGTGCCTCAGGAGTTAGATTAGGTGTCACATCCACTCCCAGGTCTCTTTCTCGAATCGTTACAGGTAGGCTGTTCCCCTTCATTGTGTACTGTCCCTTTGGTCTCCTGTCACCTGATCCCATTTCCATAACTTTACATTTACTGGTGTTAAACTCCAGTAGCCATTTCCCTGACCATCTCTGCAGCCTGTTTAAGTCCTCTTGGAGGATCCTACAATCCTCGTCTGTCACAACTCTTCTCATTAATTTTGCGTCATCTGCAAACATTGACATGTATGATTCCACTCCTGTAAACATATCATTTACGTAAATTAGAAAGAGGATTGGTCCCAGCACCGATCCTTGAGGTACTCCACTTGTTACTGTTCGCCAGTCCGACTTTTCGCCCCTTACCATTACCCTCTGGCTCCTTCCTGTGTGTGTGTGTGTGTGTGTGTGTGTGTGTGTGTGTGTGTGTGTGTACATTTCCCCCAGTGTGCGTCAGTCCTTCCTACACGTGTCTGTTACACAGTTCCTCAGTAGTACGTTCATCTATCCGTCGCTGGTATATTCATTCTACAAATATACCAGGTAATGTTTGTCATATATATGAATATTCTTATAGTAATCCATTAAGGTTAATCATTATTCCGAATATTCTTACGGCAATCCTATTAAGGATAACCGTTCATTCTAATATTTGCAGCACATAGTTTAAACCAATCGTACATCAAAATGTTCTTTAGAAAAATGCCATTAACACAAATCATGAGCGGGATATTCCTACAAATATCAAATTAAAGCCAGTTATACATTGAATATAGGATTAATAACGTTATTTAAAACAATGTGCACTGTATCACAACAAATAAAATTATATTAAATGAAAGTGACAAAATTTTTTTAAAAAGTAAAACAGAAAAAGTGCCCAAAAATGTATAAATGATCAAAAAAGAGTAAAAAAAAAATTAAGCAAAAGAGAGCAAAGTAATAAATGAAAAGTAAACAAAGCTGAGGTAGAAGGGCGTAACCCCAGACATGGTCACTGGAGCTTCAAGGTCAACAACTCCAATTATAAGGGTGAATATCCCTTGTTATTGGAGGGTGGCACTTGCCTCCCGTCTCATTAGGCTCTCTAGTGAGCCCACGGCCTCTCCTGCTGGGGAGGAGCAGGAGGGCTGGCTCACTCCTGCTGGGGAGGAGGACGAGGGCTGGCTCACTCCTGCTGGGGAGGAGCAGGAGGGCTGGCTCACTCCTGCTGGCGAGGAGGACGAGGGCTGGCTCACTCCTGCTGGGGAGGAGCAGGAGGGCTGGCTCACTCCTGCTGGGGAGGAGCAGGAGGGCTGGCTCACTCCTGCTGGGGAGGAGCAGGAGGGCTGGCTCACTCCTGGGGAGGAGCAGGAGGGCTGGCTCACTCCTGCTGGGGAGGAGGACGAGGGCTGGCTCACTCCTGCTGGGGAGGAGCAGGAGGGCTGGCTCACTCCTGCTGGCGAGGAGGACGAGGGCTGGCTCACTCCTGCTGGGGAGGAGCAGGAGGGCTGGCTCACTCCTGCTGGGGAGGAGCAGGAGGGCTGGCTCACTCCTGCTGGGGAGGAGCAGGAGGGCTGGCTCACTCCTGGGGAGGAGCAGGAGGGCTGGCTCACTCCTGCTGGGGAGGAGGACGAGGGCTGGCTCACTCCTGCTGGGGAGGAGCAGGAGGGCTGGCTCACTCCTGCTGGGGAGGAGCAGGAGGGCTGGCTCACTCCTGCTGGGGAGGAGCAGGAGGGCTGGCTCACTCCTGCTGGGGAGGAGCAGGAGGGCTGGCTCACTCCTGGGGAGGAGCAGGAGGGCTGGCTCACTCCTGCTGGGGAGGAGGACGAGGGCTGGCTCACTCCTGCTGGGGAGGAGCAGGAGGGCTGGCTCACTCCTGCTGGGGAGGAGCAGGAGGGCTGGCTCACTCCTGCTGGGGAGGAGCAGGAGGGCTGGCTCACTCCTGCTGGGGAGGAGGACGAGGGCTAGCTCACTCCTGCTGGGGAGGAGCAGGAGGGCTGGCTCACTCCTGCTGGGGAGGAGCAGGAGGGCTGGCTCACTCCTGCTGGGGAGGAGGACGAGGGCTGGCTCACTCCTGCTGGGGAGGAGCAGGAGGGCTGGCTCACTCCTGCTGGGGAGGAGCAGGAGGGCTGGCTCACTCCTGCTGGGGAGGAGCAGGAGGGCTGGCTCACTCCTGCTGGGGAGGAGCAGGAGGGCTGGCTCACTCCTGCTGGGGAGGAGCAGGAGGGCTGGCTCACTCCTGGGGAGGAGCAGGAGGGCTGGCTCACTCCTGCTGGGGAGGAGGACGAGGGCTGGCTCACTCCTGCTGGGGAGGAGCAGGAGGGCTGGCTCACTCCTGCTGGGGAGGAGGACGAGGGCTGGCTCACTCCTGCTGGGGAGGAGCAGGAGGGCAGGCTCACTCCTGCTGGGGAGGAGCAGGAGGGCTGGCTCACTCCTGCTGGGGAGGAGCAGGAGGGCTGGCTCACTCCTGCTGGGGAGGAGGACGAGGGCTGGCTCACTCCTGCTGGGGAGGAGGACGAGGGCTGGCTCACTCCTGCTGGGGAGGAAGACGAGGGCTGGCTCACTCCTGCTGGGGAGGACGAGGGCTGGCTCACTCCTGGGGAGGAGCAGGAGGACTGGCTCACTCCTGGGGAGGAGCAGGAGGACTGGCTTACTCCTGCTGGGGAGGAGCAGGAGGGCTGGCTCACTCCTGCTGGGAAGGAGGACGAGGGCTGGCTCACTCCTGCTGGGAAGGGGTTGATCCCGAAGGACGTTCTTCCGGGAGGGGTGAGAGGGACAGAGGGTCGTCTGGGAAGGCTGAGGAGTGGCTGTAACTCCGACCTGAAGACAGTGTAAGTAGGGGATAATTGAAGGACAAATTGTCATGTGGAGATGCTACAGGACTCTTCTGTCCTGCCTGGTGCGCTTTAAGCTAGTGCAGGAGACGCTGCAGGAGGGATCCATTACTCGTAAAGTCTTCCCTGGCAAGAAAGGAAGCAGCGAGACGAATTAACATGTCTCTCTCTCTCTCGTCTTAAGTTGGAATTTGTTATTGATCTGTGGTGCCATCTGGAGGCGAAGAGCAGGCCAGGCGAGGCTGTGACGGGCAGATCATCATCACAGGCCTGGCGGGACGGAGCGAGAACATATTATTACCGGATACAAGTGTTTGTATGGGTGGTATCCAGTTGTATGGGGGGGGGGTTCATGCTCTTGTCCGCGCCCCTTTTGTCCGCCCCAGTTCCCGCCAACCTCTGGTCGTCACCGCAACGTTATGTCACTCCCTCAGGCTCTTTCCTCAGTTTTAATTGGTAGCTCAAAGCTCCCTGCGGTCGTATTGGCTCGTGCCTGTAGGCCCCCTGACCCGCTCATCACGTAAAAGATGCGTCCACGGCCTCTGCTGTTTCGCGCCAAATTTGAAATGATACCAGCTGTGTTTACGTTAGCTTCGGCTGGTCGAATGGCCTCAAACTATAAATAAATACCGTTTATTGATTGTCGCCCTGTTTGTATGCTCAAATTAACTACCAAATGGCCCTCTGGAGCCCAAGCATTTCAACTAGAACAGCCGTAGGACATTTTGTCAGGAAAGAGATTTGTATTTCGATATATGAAAAGTGACCACAAATTGTTCTATATGACGTCACAACATCATCTCTGGTATCTGTCTTCTGTCTCTCCTCTTTCTGCACCCGTCTACCTCTGTCTCCTCTCCCATTCGCCTTCCTCCCGTCCCAGGTCGGGTGCCTGGGAACCAATTTCATTTAAGGCAGTAAACCCCTTAAACCTGTTTTAATTTGGTGGAGTGCGTCTTCGCCGTCATGGTGGGTTTAGGTGAGAGGGCGGGTGGCCGGGGGGTTTTGTGGGCGGGTTTATATTGGGTCGTTGGTTTTGTGGGCGGGGTTTATGTGGTGTTGGATATTTGAGTGAGGTGTTTATGTAGGTTGGTTGTGGGTTTGGGGTGATCTGTGGTGAGAGGTGTTCCTTGTGGGCCAGTGGCTGTGGGCTCGGATGAGTCGTGGAGGCTGGTTTAACGAGGTATTGAAAGTTTGGGAAACGATTGGGAGGATAGACGGAGTTCAGTGGGAATAGATTCGCTGAATGGTTTATATACAGGTTTAGAATGAAGCCAGTTTAAAGATGTGATTGCTTTGTCTAAGGCCCTGGATTAAAACAACTTAGTTGGAGGTTTGGAAACCCGAGGAGCAGACAGGATTTTAATTTAATAACGTTGGGTCTCTTCAGAAATGTTTTTAGAAACTTGATATAAAAGTTTGTTTTGAAATTTAGATTTTTGTTTTTCTTTCTGACGATATGGTGTGAGTTTGAGCCTATTGAAGGGGCTTAACCACACACGTACAAACCCAAGCAACCCGCATACCCTAAGAGCTCGATAAATAGTAAAAGTTAATATTACGGTGCTAAAAATTTGACTAATACTTCCCAAGGGAAGGGAACTATCAGGGCGGGGAAGCGCCAAGCCATTACGACTATATAGCACTTGGAAGGGGGGTCAGGATACGGACTTGGGATGGGACGGGGGGAAAGGAATGGTGCCCAACCACTTGGACGGTCAGGGATTGAACGCCGACCTCCATGAAGCGAGACCGTCGCTCTACCGTCCAGCCCAAGTGAAAAAAAATATAGAGAAGATTCTTGCTAGAATCATTGATCTCTCTCACATTCTGTTTTCAATATGTCTACAAGGAGTGCTACCAATATGATAAATTTATGTATTTTAAAACATTCAATATTTCAGATTTTCTTTATTAACGGACAGTTTAATAAAGCTGTTTAAACATCAATGAATATAATCATTTGTAATGGGGTTGAGACGGCCAATTATTCAGGTATAACTGGCAGGTTGTTCCTCCAAAAAAAAATTAATACTTTTTTTGTGACTTTATAATATGTTAAAAGAAGTGTTTTCTTAAACTCCAAAAACCCCGTGTTAATTGGCTTTCTGTTGCCTTGTTAAGAGTTTTAACGTTTTCTTTAAAAATATAGAATGGTAAAATATGCCGTTTTCCAACTGCTGTTGAAAAGGAGGCAGCGAGGAGCAGCAGCAGGTGGTGGTGGGAAGAGGAGGGAGCAGGTAGTGGAGATAGAGGAGGGGGAGGAAAGCTCCCTGCGCCCCCTCCCCCCCCCCCAAAAAAAAAATAAAAAAAAATAATAAAGAGAGGAAACAAGAGACTACGAAGCAACCTTGGTGGTACCAGAGGAAACACTATACAAAAGATGCCACTAATTGACCCAGTAGCATCCAGCACCACCCAGCACCACCCAGCACCACCCAGCAAGAGGATTATATTCCTAGTAAAAATGTTTCTGGAGTTTTGGTGGCGGTGGAGAGTAATAGTGTAGGATACGCTGACTTCACCTGTCTACCTCCTCAACCCGTTCTCGCACTTTCTTAAAGTCAATATTTACTTATTAAATACATGCATATGTGACATACTAAACATACTAGTTTACCTTGAAAAGCTTCATAGAAAACACCGACCTTACCTAACCTTCTTAGTATGTTAAGATATTACTTAACCTATTATAGGTATAGGTTAAGTAATAATTGTAATTACGAAGCAATAAGATGCTTATCTTAACATACTAAGAAGGTTAGGTAAGGTCGGTGTTTTCTATGAAGCTTTTCAAGGTAAACTAGTATGTTTAGTATGTCACATATGCACGTATTTAATAAGTCAATATTGACTATACGAAAGTGCGAGAACGGGTTGACCTCCTTCATGTGTCTACTGATAGTCTCTCGCCCAGCATTTTATTTTGGAATTTGTTGACCAGATATCTTAATGTTTTATTTATATATTCCTAAATCCTTGGAATATAAATGAAACGTAAAAACTCTTTTCAATTTGTTGACAATTGTAGTTTTGTTGTTTTCTGAAGTTATAACACGACCTAAATTAGTATTTAATTTAATATTTTAATTTCAATAAATTTTTTAATTTAATTTAATATTTTAATGTTTAATTATATAAAAGGTCCCCAGACAGAGAGCTGGAACTGAAGAGGTGCCAGGACTGAGCCTTGGGCCTCTATTTTATATTTGTAAAACTACTTTTATAAACCGATTGACACTACTTTCTAGGCTGACTTTTTGTATTGTCTCTCATTTCACTATTTTCTGCTTCGTTCTTATATTCATATTAATACCAATAATATAGCATAAAAAACCATACTTGTGTATTTGGGGGAATGTATGTAAAGAATTTACACCAAGTCTTTCACAATTTCCTGAGTGCTTTGTTGAGGTTGAGTGTGTGATTAGGACCAGACTTACAGCTAATCAACGTTGATTAGACTTTGAGACTCAAGTCTCGTCCTCACCACACACTTGAGACCTCGACAAAGCACTCAGGAGAGTGCGAAAGACTTGGTGTAAATTATTTACATAAATTCCCCAAATACACAAGAGTGAGGGTCTTATCCTATGTTATTCTGTCTGTAAGAAGACATTAGCATTACTTAATACCACCACTAATGCTTTCATTACTGTTATCTTAAACGACTTAATTTTTTGGGGACTTTCTCTGTATAGTTTGGCGACATTGTATATTTTTTGGCGACTTTGCTCTACAAAGCTCCTGAAGCAAAATATATTTATTTCTCTCTCTCGGACACAATTACTTCTCACGAGTTAATTGGTTTTTCCTTCATGGCGTAGAGAGAGAGAGAGAGAGAGAGAGAGACAGAGACAGACAGAGACAGACAGAGACAGACAGAGACAGACAGAGACAGACAGAGACAGACAGAGACAGACAGAGACAGACAGAGACAGACAGAGACAGACAGAGACAGAGAGAGACAGAGAGAGAGTCGCATTATAATCTTCGTTAATATGCACCTACGTCACATTTTCAACAAAATCCCAGAGAATGCATTTTCTTTTTTCACGTAAATATTCCACTTCTATATGTAACTTAATACTAATACCAATTATTGGTAGCCAGATTTATTTGAATGCCTCGGGCAGTGTAAACAAAAAAATATTGGAACGCTTTTGTGTTCACTTTGTGTGAAAGTCTTGAGAAATATTAATGTGTCAAGAAAATATTAAATCATTTTGTTATGGCTCTTTGTTTTGGAATGTAAATATTAATGTTTGGGTTTATCGGGGCTTAAAGTTTGTGTAAAAATCCTCGAATTATGAAATAGGTTTTTGGCATTGAGTTACGATTGGTATATTCTTAGTGTGGATTTCACTGGGGTGATATTTTAGTGGATTATTGGCTGAAATTATAGGCAGTTTAGGGTGAATTATAGAGATTTGTTTTGTATTGAATGTGCATGGAGAGAGAGAGAGAGAGAGAGCAAGAGAGAGAGTGGGAAAGACTCACAGACACGGTGTATATCACTTATACAATGATGATCATTATACAAATTCAAATTATAATTTATTATAATTACGAACTTTCCCCTTTTAGTTGACATTATTTGAAAACTATACTTATTCTCATTTTTACGATTTTATATGTATAATAATAACAGATCATTTATCGACCCTTAATTCAAGACGGATACATATCAACAAATTGTATTTGCTAGTTGTATAATAAATTACCTCCTGAGGCATATAATATACAAAATTCTCTGATAATAAAGTCAGCTCTGAGGTCTCGTCAGACGTGGCAAGTTAAAATCAAACTGCTCCTGGAGGAATTCCGAACATGGCGGCCTTTCAGACATACCAAACATGGCGGCCTTTCAGACATTCCAAGGCATAATTTGCAATTCCCGGGAAGCCTTGTGCGAGATCCACAGACTTGCTGGAGGAGCGAAAAAGTCAGTTCCAGACTCGCCATGGTGGGAATTTGGTCTTGGAATCTTAGAAAGTGGGAATGTTGGTGTGTTCTGGTGTAGATTCCCCTGGCAGAAAATTGGGGGGCTTGGCCACCAGGGCTTGTGTGTTGTGAAGTAATTATTATTATTATTGCTTGTAGTAGTTGTATGGTTATGATGGGTTGTAATTTGCTTTTTAATCTGCATCTCTTTATGTCTACTAAATTATCCATTACCTCCTAATCCCTTCTCTGCTTAGTTATTTATCTACCATTACTACCCAACCTGTTCTGCCTCCATTACCACCCCCCCTCTCCCTCCACTACAACCCCCCCTCCACTACAACCCCCCCCCCTCCCTCCACTACCACCATCTTCACCAACATCATTCCCGTCACTCTCCTTCATCTCCCGATTCCCAGGACTCATGTCTCATCTCTGTCATTTCCAGAGATGCTGCGGGTGTCATCTCAACAGCCTGGGGAGCCTGGGGTACTGTGTGGTGATGCTGGGCCTGACAGCCTACATCATCACCACGGAGGTGCAACAATTCATCAAGTACTTCGAGCTGCCCTGGCCAGACCATAGTATGCCCTACATTGAACTAAACGTCCATATTGGTAAGTGTTGGGCATCACCCCGGTGGTGGTGGTTGTGTGGAGTAGGTAGGTGGTGGTGGTGGGTAGGTTTATGTGGTGGGAACTCACCATCTCACTATCTTTGACTCGTCTGCGGTGAGTTATTGATGGTGAGTACTGTGGTGGAGGGATAAGATGATAGGTTGTAGGGTGGTTTCTATTCAGGTGGAAATGGGTTTGTATGGTGAGTAGGACTATGGTGAATGACGTGGTTGATGGTAGGCTGTTACAAGCGGTATATAGTTACCGTTGACGGTGAACGGTGGTGGTTCTGTTCGGCATACAATGGTAGTTAACGTAGTAGGCTGTAACAACTTGTGAATAGTAGGTAATGGTAGTTCTTGGGTCATCTATGAGTAGTTAACCACGGATCATGATTATACAAAATACCATAATTATATGACAGTCTGAAACAATACAATATTACAGAATAGTAGACATTATCTGTAATATACCCTGCTATGGCAAGATAGATATTAGTGAATATTTACAAAAAGTTAACTATCAGTTACCAGTTAACTATCGTAAGTATCGTAGACGGAGAGAACAGGTTCCCGCAACCTTACCTTAGCTCTTGGGCCGGGCTCTGGATGGCCAGGAAAAAGGGTTCAAAGTTCAGAATATTGCAAAAATGTGCCCAACATTTCTTCATCGTTCAAGACAAGAATTGTGAATTTATCAACGCATAAAGCTATATTGTTTAAGAAAATATAGGAGCTAAGGGACAGATACCAGAAAGGTACAGACTGTCTCAAAACAATCAACACAAACCCGCGCTCCACAGCTCAAAACAATCCATAGTGGACAAAACAATACCTTGGACCCAATAGTATAACTCGGATACTAAAACAACACCTCGGCACACAAGACAATGCTTGAATCGACATGAGAATGGTCCAGGACGGACCGAAACGTCGTCGTCCCTTCACCTTCTAGTGTGTGGTCTGGTCATCAATGCTTGAACCTCCATGAGAACCCAGAAGCTTTCAAAACAATATCCTGAGCTAAGAAGACTAAAGAAAGAAGTCTAAGAAAGACTAAACGTAAGTTTGCAAGATTGTGTCAAGTACATACCCAGACTCGCAAGACTTTTCCCCGAGAGGCCAAGAACAATATCTGAGCCATCAAGACGGTACCTGGGGGGCTTGACCCCAGGAAATAATGACCTTGAGGGGGGGGGGGAGACTTGAAGGTCTCTGACGCACTTCTCAACACAATAAAGAAGGTGAGGGGGGGGGGGGTAACGTCTTAACATGACTAATAAGTCATAATGTCTCCACATAAGCCAGCCAGGTATACCTGCCTTTCGGTTAATGGAATAATTAACTCTGATCACCTCCATCTCTATGTTTATTCCTATAGTGATTATCTCCTGTGTGTGTGTGTGTACTCACCTAGTTGTACATGCCTAGTTGTGTTTGCGGGGGTTGAGCTTTGGCTCTTTAGTCCCGCCTCTGAAGTGTCAATCAACTGGTGTACAGATTCCTGAGCCTACTGGGCTCTATCATATCTATATTTGAAACTGTGTATGGAGTCAGCCTCCACCACATCACTGCCTAATGTATTCCATTTATCAACCACTCTGACACTATAAAAGTTCTTTCTCATATCTCTGTGGCTCATTTGGGCACTCTGTGTGTGTGTGTGTGTGTGTGAGAGACTCCTGGCATATACCCTCCTGATCCTAATTCACCAATCAGACTTGCGTCTGCTGAAACTTGATTCAGATTATTACTTGTACCGTCTCAATTGCATATTAATTAACTAATTACCTTAAGTCTGCTTTCGTATGCCAGGCCGTGCAGTATTATCCTCCACGACAACATGCAGGACGAGGCTGCCTTCATTTTGTACATTTTACATTTGTGTACAACTTGTTATTAACTTTGTGAAAGTCTCTCTCTCTCTCTCTCTCTCTCTCTCTCTCTCTCTCTCTCTCTCTCTCTCTCTCTCTCTCTCTCTCTCTCTCTCTCTCTCTCTCTCTCTCTCCCCATTCATTAATAACCATACACGCCTGGCTAGATTAATTGGTTTCCATGATTGGTGGTAACGCAAGACACAATAGCATGGTTGACCAGCACCGGGCTGGTTGCCGAGTCTCTTACAACATCAACTGTGATGTTTACACCTCGACCTCCTCACCACATCACTGTAGCGACCGCAAATATTATGCACGTAACATCTTTACTTTAAGATCACCGTAAGATTGTAACGCTGCATCGCAAGGATGTTGTGATTAGCGTTTCTGTTGTTACCATCGTCACAACATCGAATCATCATCATCATCATCATTCATCCTTTGTCAATGATTGATTCTTAAATGATCTCCGCTCGTTCACTGTGATGTTACATCTTCAAGAGCTCCGAACATCACCAACATGGTTCAGAAGCTCCCAACAAGGGTTAGAAGCTCCCAACAAGGGCCAGAAGCTCCCAACAAGGGTTAGAAGCTCCCAACAAGGGCCAGAAGCTCCCAACATGGTTCAGAACCCCCCACAGCATGGGTCAGAGGCCCAACATCACCAACATCAAAGGGTTAAGAGCGCATAAAGCCAGAAACCTCCATAACACCAACTTGAAAGTACCGAGGGCAAGTAACCTATGAAAAAATAAAAAAAACAGTTCTTTGATGGTCTTTGTGTGCGTGCGTGTGTGTGTGTGTGTGTGTGTGTGTGTGTGTGTGTGTGTGTGTGTGTGTGTGTGTGTGTGTGTGTGTGTGTTTTACGTAATTATATTTACCCATTTGTACATGCAGGATCGAACTGTTAGCTCTAGTACTTTCTAACAGTTTAATATAATGACTTTTGACCATTTTTGTACCATGGTGTCTTAGTAGATACTGTTAAGAGTGCCTTCTCCCCGGTCAAGGACCTTCACAGTAGAGGACCTTCACAGAGTAGGACCTTCTTAAGAACCATCTTCATGACGTTTTAACCGGAATTCCTCTACACATCCAGCGAAGCATTTCATCCAAGTAACCAGTTGATGAATTAATCCGATCTTCCTAATCTTCCTCCCGACAGGTCTGGTTGGAGCAGCGGCCGTCCTGCTCTTCTTCTTCTTCGTGGCGGCCGTGTTCAAGATCGGCAACCAGGCCAACGATGGCTACAGGCTGGGGGTGCAGGACGGAGCCTGTTCCCGCGACCCGCCGCCCCTGCCTGGCGCCGCTGGGGGTGTTGTGAGGGGGGCCTGGCTCCACGGGGGACCCACTGCACCATTCATCCATTTGCTGGTGGCTCATCTACTCATCCTGGCTAGACTCATCATGGAGGCCGCCGCCACCAAGGCTTCGTTCCTGCCTGAGAGTGAGTATCTTAGGAGGCCTTTGATGGCTGTGTTGTTGTTTTGGGAGGAGTGAGATCACGCTAGGGGAGGATAGTGTCTTAATATGTTTTGTCTTTACTACTTTTCCCCCTCCTCCCCAATCGCTACCACCCCCTCTCGCTACTACCCCCCCCCCCTCTCGCTACCACCCCCACTCGCTACTACCCCTTCTCGCTACCACCTCTCGCTACTATTATCTTTTTTTATCTATCCAAAAGCTAAAGATAGATACAAAACGAGGAGTAAGGAGGGGAAATAATAATAGAAATAAGAGACTTGATAGACAACAAGAAGCAGTGTGGAAATAAACAATGATAATAATAATTACAAATGTCTTGTATCGAACGTAATAGATGTTTTAATGTGTTTAATAACACATAGTAAGTCAGATAAAAATTAAAGATATAAGAAACTATACAGATAATATGTTAATTGGGAAAGGACACGTTGAAAATCAGCTGTATAATGGCGGGAGAAAGGTATGGGACGATGGTCATTGTAACTACTCACTGCCCGCGCTTACGACGTCTCGGAACGAGTTATCGAGTCGGCAATTATTCGTCTGAGTTTACAACACGAGCTGTAAATAACGGCCTCGTAAATATGGGGCCGAGATAACCACACACACACACACACACACACACACACACACACACACACACACACACACACACACACACACACACACACTCTCTAGCGCTCTCTGACAACCCCCAGAGTTTTCGCCTGCAGTCCATAGATGGCGACAGCGCGTGACGTTGCCGTCTCGAGCTCCGGTAAATATATATATATAAACCCGCTGCGACATTGCTTGGCTCTTTATGGAGGCAGGCCATTGTGTGGCTCTTGACTACAATGGTGTGCTTGCTCATAAATTGTCTGCAGGCTAAAATCTGCATGGGAAGTAATAGCATTAAACTGAAGAAGCAAAAAAGAATCGTGGTTGCCGTTATGTTTAATGTTTCCACATTGATAATTTTTTTATATTTTAGGCAATTTATCATTTGATAATTTATAATTTGTTTTTTTTATATTTATTTACAATGTTTAATTAGTACATGTGAGTATAAGTATGACGGGAATGTAGTAATATAATCTGAGACGATGTGCTCCCAAGACTAATGCCTATAATCCGTGCACGGATTATATTAATGGGATATAATTATAAACCTAAAATGACTTCCATGTACTCAACTTAGTTTTGTTGTATATATTTGATAGCAGTAACAAGGCTGAAAATTACAGAAGCCGTTCATAATGTCCTTGTACGCCAGGTGTCTTGTTAACGACCCAACTACCCCCACCTTGCGCCAGGTGTGCCGATAACTACCACCTGCTCACTACCCAACAAGGCCATCAGATCTTTTGCTTTTTCCTTAGCTTAGATGACCACATAATAACCAACTTTATCAGAGCTAAGTTAATGACCAGGGCTAAGTTCGGCTGCCTTATTCAGATCCCTTCAAAGTGTTATATAGTAATAGTTTGGCGCTTGATCTTGTTAGTTTCTGTCTCTATTGCTGTCTGTCTCTGTCTCTCTCGCTGTCTGTCTCTCTCTCTCTCTCTCTCTCTCTCTCTCTCTCTCTCTCTCTCTCTCTCTCTCTCTCTCTCTCTCTCTCTCTCTCTCTCTCTCTCTCTCTCTCTCTCTCTCTGGCGCCAGTCGTCCAAAGCACCTCTCCTCCTCCTCCTTGTCTCGCACTCAAATTTGCATTCACTTGGTATTCACCACTTCATTCCCGGCATCATTCAGCGCGTACCGACACCAGTCCTTTTAAACGGCTCGCTTAAACATTTTTCCTTCCAGCTATTCCACGTTTTCTTTGCGTTGGGGTCGCGTGAGCAGTTTACACCAGCTTACCACCATTCGTTTTCTATAAAGGGGAGAGAGGTTTTTAATGTTTATATGCACAGATTTTTATTTATTAATACGGGTCTATATTTTCTGTACAGGACTCTAGTTTAAGGAAACTGTTTTCACTAAACCGATTATGATCAATGAAATTTTATGTGGGTTTATTTTTTAATTGCAAAATATTGTTTTTCCATTAATAACAATATTTTTTTACATAAATCGTTTTAAAGCTTCAAAATTTTCCTTGCTAAACCTTTAAAACAAAACTAATATATATATATATATATATATATATATATATATATATATATATATATATATATATATATATATATATATATATATATGTATGTAAAAATTTATTTTTAATTAGCATATAAAGAACTGGATTTTTTATATAATTTAGTAATTTGTAATTAACATTTTGCTTATAATGTCATTTTATATTGTTATTATAAAATGCTTGTAAGACGAATGTCGGAGGTTTCTTATCTGAATGAAAACTTTGCTGTCTCTTTTTATTATTATTAACACATTTAGATACATGTGCATTTTTCTAGCTGCCCTAGACTAGTACAGTGAACTAGCTGTCAAGAACTAGCTGCCCTAGACTAGTACAGTGAACTAGCTGTCAAGAACTAGCTACCCTAGACTAGTACAGTGAACTAGCTGTCAAAAACTAGCTGCCCTAGACTATAGGAAGGGAAGTACAGTGTGTATCAAGAACTAGCTGCCCTAGACTAGTACAGTGTGTGTCAATAACTAGCTGCCCTAGACTAGTATAGTGTGTGTCAATAACTAGCTGCCCTAGACTAGTACAGTGTGTGTCAATAACTAGCTGCCCTAGACTAGTACAGTGTGTGTCAAAAACTAGCTGCCCTAGTCTATAGGAAGGGAAGTACAGTGTGTGTCAAGAACTAGCTGCCCTAGACTAGTACAGTGTGTGTCAAGAACTAGCTGCCCTAGACTAGTACAGTGTGTGTCAAGAACTAGCTGCCCTAGACTATATGAAGGGTAGTACAGTGTGTGTCAAGAACTAGCTGCCCTAGACTATATGAATTGGAAGACAGTGTGTAAAGAACTAGCTACGTGATGCTAAAAGTCCCCATCACACAGGATGGTTACTCTCACAGGGCCAGATCATCAGTAGTCTGCATTGGCAAGCTTTGCCTGTATTTTGAGCATATCAAGAACACGAAAGTTAGGAATATAGTTTAGCTTTTTTTATTAATACATGAGGTACATCTGCATTAGTGCAGCTACCCTAGACTATATTGAAGTGGAGTACAGTGTGTCAAAAAAGCTAACTAGGTGATGCTAAAAAATCCCCATCACACAGGATGGTTAGTCATACAGAGGCATGTGATAAGCGGTCTGCACTGGCAGACTCCGGAAGCATTTTGAGGATATCATCAACACAAGAGTGAATAAGGCAGCAGTGGTAATACAAGTCCCCATCTCGCAGGATGGTTAGTCATACAGGGCCATATGTTTAGTAGCCTGCACTGGCAAATTTTGGGTGCACTATAGGATATCTTCAAGAACACGAGAGTGAATAAAGTAATTGCAAAGCTCCAGGTACCTCATGCCAACTGGTCTGAAAGGTCTGATAACTGGGCATTCAGTGATGTAGTGTGGGAGATCATGCCCCAGTTCCTGCTCACAGAGTTTGCACCTGGAGTGCTCAGGATTGGGAGACCCGTCACCTGTAGCCACCTGCCACAGGTAACGGTAACCCAACCTGATCCTTGCAACCACTGTGTCGCACAGTCTAGTGGACGTTTTGTGCTGCCCATAGATATAGGTTTCAGATCTGAACAAATCATAGCTTTTTATACTAGTACTTTCATGTCGTTGGGAGTCAGTAAGTTCTTTCCTATCAGATCTGAATGTTTGGACCAATACATTTTTGACAGCAGAGATGGGGATACCTAGATCTAATTCAACTTCACTGACTGTCTTTATATTGGTGAAAGTCTACGGGATCCGATTATCGTGTTTCATTTACCAAGAAATTGACCCATATATAACAAGAAAGAATTGTTGAGGAATTTCTAGTGCAATGTGTGTGTGTGTGTTTGGATAATGGTACTCCTAGATGAGCTCCTAGGGACGAACTCTGCTCCTGGTCCCGCCTTCTCAACATTCTTAATTTAATAATGATTCATACGTTCTCTGATTCATTTATTTTTCTCTAGTTTCCATCTAGGTTCCTTCAGTCTTTCCTCATAACAACAAGGCTCAGAAACTAGCCTTGTTGTGCTTTAGGGTTCCATGCCAAAGCTGCATATTCAAGAGTGGGTCTAACATAGGTTGTATTTAGGAATTTGGAAGGCCTCTTTCTCTAAGTGTGCGAAGTCATACTTGGTTGTCATAGAATTATAGTTTTTCTTCAGTAGCTAACGGTGACTCACACAACTCGGTGTGTTATAGAACATGGTGTGTTATAGAACATGGTGTGTTATAGAACATGGTGTGTTATAGAACATGGTGTGTTATAGAACATGGTCTCCAACTATTTCTATCTCGGCCTAATTATTTGTTTGATTTTGTCTTGTTTATCACTTCCATTATTTACACATTCTTCTGCATTCCTTATGTGCTCCTCTCCTCCTTAGTCTCTTGAGACTTCATTTGTACTCACCTAGTTGTGCTTACGGAGGTTGAGCTCTGGCTCTTTGGTCCCGCGACTCCTTAATCCGTAACTAACATACTACATCATTAAACACTCCTCCATCATCTTCACCTTCCTTACACATCAATGTCTTCACTAGCGTACTTCTCTAATGCATAATACCAACAACAACAGTTAACTGATATATCAAAAGGCTCTCTTAATTAAATTTTAGGAATAATTATCTCCTAAAGTTGCTTTATAATCGCCTGTTTGTCATATCGATGCTGGTTTGATGAATGTATATAAAATCACATTATTATCTGTGGTTAGTTAGCCCATACTGGTTTCCATTGTTTAGAGAGAAAAGGTGTATGTGACGAAGAGGAATAATTACCTGTGTGTCTCTTCAGTCTGTTGTGGTAAGCATCTCGTTTGTTTCTGCGAGAAGATTTTCCCCCTTTTCCAATCTCTGCATATTAGTATGATTAGCATAATTATGATTGTTTTTGTGA